TACGTATATATATATATATATATATATACATATATATATACATATACGTATATATATATATATATATATATATATATATACACACACACACACACGCATCCAAAAATCCCCAAATCTATCTAAATATGTAAAATTATCAATGAACATGTTATACAATAAAATTATATAAAAAATATAGTTATATATGTAAAATAAATATATGTAAAATTATAATAATATTTATATACTGTATATGCAAAAAAATGTTTAATGTCATTTGAACATATCAAAACAATAAAATAAAATAAAATATTTCTTCCAAAAGCACATAGATCTAAGAGAGACTTTTTGGCCCACATGTATCTGACATGTTTCTACCAGCAGGACTTTAGATTGAGTTGCCAGTCTTTTTTAACTTATCTCAGCAGGTACAAGAGTATCTCAGATTGTAGTATGTTCCTCTCCAGCTGGTCTGGCCCAAAACTAAGAAGCTTTAGTCTCAACTGTCATATCCATTCTCCTCTGGAATGTTCTTGCACACGCATTAGATGCAATGCAGCCTGGCTATCAAGAGAATCTCACATGAGACGCAGTAGAGTTCTGCAACATGTGCTAACGAAATTCGTGTTAGATCAGTTGAGTGGATGGATTCTGCTGCCTGCCGACTCAGCTTTCTGACGGTGGAAACAGAGCTTTCTAAAGCTGCTTTCACAGTAATGAAGAATCACAGTGAATCTGAGTTACATACACACACAAATTCACATGCTCTCGCAGTGCTGGATATTATAGGGAGTAAGTCATTCAAGTTAGTTTTGTATGTCAGTCTGCATGTACATGCATGTAGGCATCATGCCACAATGCAGTTAGAGCTAAGTGTCTACAATTTCTCCGCTAAAACTCCCGGCAGCTGAAGGGACAGCCTCAGGCCACAGAGAATGACAGTGAAGAGGAGGAGCGCTCTGCAGGGATGCAGGAAAAGTAATGTGTGTGAGGAAATCCTCTAATCAATAATTCAAACTGCTGTAATTACACACATCTGTCTCAGCGCAAAAAGAGAGAAAGAGAGAGAGAGAGACGTAATGTGTACTATGGCATTGTGAAATATTAAACACTTCATGTAATTTTAGTGCACGACGGGATTCAAATTAAGCTGGCACACAACAGCCATATGAAATAGGCATGAATGTAGGCCATTTCACCATCATGCAAAGAGATATACATTTTTTATGTCATTTGAAGATAGAAGTGGTTATTTTCCATGGCCAATGTTGATCTGATGTCAAGAAAGTAGGCTGGCCAATGTATATAAATGTATATTACTGATAGTATTTAATGTTTTATATAATTTATATTGCAATTTATAATTATCATCACACACACACACACGTATATACACAAGTAGTTCTAAATATTATTGATACTATATAATGATTTTATCTATCTATCTATTCATCCATCCATCCATCATCCATCTAACTAAATTATTAATCATTAAAAGATAATTAAATATCAATAACTGATTATTAATCATTAATTTATATATATATATATATATATATATAAAGACGTATATATATATATATATATATATATATCGTCATATATATTTATACATATTTATATACATATTTTATTACACATATTTAAATATAAAGAAAATGTATAAATTTATTTAAATGTACAAACTTATATGATAAAATCATCAGGCTTGAAATCATCATTCTATTTTGCATTTGTGATTTTTTTTAAGAACCTGAATCTCTATGATTATTAAATTATTACTTCTTTGATGGCACAAAGTGTCCACCCACACACACTTACACATATAGCGATGCACACACCCACATACAGAACGAAAGCAAACCCATGTGTACACAGTCACACACACACACATCTGTACGCACAGAACTTTTACCCTGTGGCAGTTCCAGTAAATGACAATCAGTGCAGTGAGATGAAGCTCACCGTATTTTGTCTGCTAACATGATTCACATAACTGGGCAGGTTGCTGCATGTTTTGGGGTAATCACAGATACCAGTATCTTCAGTGAACAACCACTATTACGCAACACTGTCATTCGAACTGTCACAGGCCTCAGAAAGCCAAAATTGTGACAGTGACCATCATAAGAGGCATATGAAGCATGAAAACAACACAATTCACTGAGATTCTCTGTAAAGCACTTACACAGGTGCACATCCATCATGGCAACACATAATCGGCTAATTATCTCCATTGTCTCCTCAGCTGCAAGGATGCAGACAAACTAACACACAAGTGCCGTCACTGACAGTCCTTGATAACCTTGAGCCAGCATTCAAAAACACACAAGACTCATGGATCGTCTCACGTCTTACCCTCTCCTCGCTATTTCGCCTCAGCGTCCCCACCGGCAGCTTAAGGAGAAGCCTGCGGGTCCTACTGGGCGTTACTGCTGCCTGGACCACCATGGTGTGCGTGTGAGTGTCTGGTCCACGAGCGTTCAGCGTCTGCTGTCCCGCCACAGACAGACGGGCTGTTCCTCTCTCTCGATCCGTCTCCACGGCTCCCTCCCACCTATTTTCCAGCCTGTCTCTCCTTGTTCCTCTTTTGAATGTGTTCACTCCTTCTTTGCTGATGTTTCTTGCACTCTTTCTGTCCGTTTTGCCTTTGTCCCTGTGTCTTTCAGCGGTGGGTGTCCTCACTATGGTCCTCAGCCCATACAGTGTCGGCTTTCATACTGCTTCCTCAGGAGAAGCGCGTGTGAGTGAGAGAGCGAGTAGATGGGAGGGAGGTTGTTGTCTCTCTCTCTCTTTCTCTGGTAGTAGCCGTGGAATGGCGTGTGCGCTCCAGATACTCAGCCTCACTTCCTCCAGTCAAACTCAATCCAGGTCACTGGATTAATATGAGTATAATCACATACACACACGTGAGTCACGTGACGCTGCGCAAGAATGTGTGTGTTTATACAGCAAAGTTCATGCTGTTGTGTATATGTTAATGTTTATGATAAAGGATAAAGTGTGTGAGTGTGTGTGCTGTAAAATATCCATTCTCCTGCTCAAACAGAATATCTGATGTTTTGCCATCTGCTGTTCAGATTAGCCGTAAATCCCATGGCTGCTTTCACCAGACAGACTACACACACACACACACACACACACACACAAAGGGAAAATACCCTCAAGCTGCCAACAAGATTACACACTAGGGATCGTTGCATGCGTGTGTAGGACATTATCGCCTGTATGTCCTAACAGGGAACATGTCTTGTTAAAAACTGCACTAAACGCCTGTCCGTCCTTCTCTGCTCTTCAGAACTCAATGAAGCAAACAGACAGCTACACTCTTAAAAATAAAGGTTCCTCTTCAGGAACTCAAGCTGCGTCAAAGAGGAACGCCTCAGGTTACGTATGTAACCCTAGTTCCTCGAGGGAACGAGACGCTGCGTCTCTGTGCCAGCCTTCCGGCGTCCCTGCCAGCGCTTGCTTCACTCCCTGAGCTGACGCTGGTCTCACCGCACGTGCTTTTATAGCCTCCTGGTCATTACGTCACCCGCCGTGACGTCTCGCCCATCTATTGGTCTGATTACACACGAAATTCAGAGCCCGTCACGCTGAACGGCGTTCCCCTAGCGTTTCTCGACGCAGCGTCTCGTTCCCTCGAGGAACTAGGGTTACATACGTAACCTGAGGCGTTCTTTATTGGCATCTGTGGTTCCATGAAGAACCTTTAACATCCATGGAAACTTTCCATTGCACTAAAGGTTCTTTATAGTGGAAAAAAGTTCTTTAGATTATTAAAATGTTCTTTACACTAAGAACATTTTAATAATGTTCTTTACACTAAGAAAAAAAAATTCTCTTAAGAACTGTTCACTGAAAAGTTAATTGAACATTGGTGAAAAACTGGTTCTTCTATGGCATCACTGTGAAAACATCCCTTTGGAACCGTTATTTGTAGAGGGTATTATTAAGTGAGTTTTATGGAGATTCTTTGTCTGGAAACTGCAACTCTGGAAACTCGAGAAAAAATCTGAATCAATCTTGAATGAAAAAACTCTAGTATGTTGTATGCCTTAACAGCATTTTAAAGGCATAGCTCACCAAAAAATATAAATTCTGTCATCATTTACTCACCGTCATATTGTTCCAAACTTTCTTCAAAACGAAAAAGAAAGTATTAATAAGCTGGTTTTGTCCAGAGAATGGAAGCAACACTGGACCCCACTGATATTCATTGTACAGGAAAAAAAAAGAAAATTTTCCAAATTATTTTGACTGACCTGAGGGTGATTAAATGATGACAAATTTTATTTTGGGGTGAACTATCCCTTTAAGGCAGCATTGGTGTGCTCCCATCTAGAAGGCTGTTTTAAAAGTATGCTGCCTTCTAAGATACCTTATTTTGACTTGTTTCTAATGCAGAAAAGGAGAAGGCAATCCCAGAATGCATTGCTATGAATTAAGTAAAAGTTGAGAGAAATATCAAATGCAAAAACACAATGATAAAATGGACTTACATTGATCTGTATGTATATGTATATATACTGTATATATATATATATATATATACAGTATATATACATATACATACAGATCAATGTAAGTCCATTTTATCATTGTGTTTTTGCATTTGATATTTCTCTCAACTTTTACTTAATTCATAGCAATGCATTCTGGGATTGCCTTCTCCTTTTCTGCATTAGAAACAAGTCAATTTTTCCCCACTGTATATATATATATATATATATATATATATACAAAATTAAATGCTAAAAAAGACTTACAGGGATCTATCTATATACAAAATTAAATGTAATGTAATGTAAATGTAAAATGTTATTTTCCTGAAAAACTATTTTTTATTGAATAACATGCATTTCTTGATATTTCTGAAATCACAAAATGAATCATGGCAAATTAATTTAATATGAAAATTTGAAAAGGCTGAGAACTGCAACTTCTGCATGAACAAGCAACACTCATATTTATGGTACTTTACCAAATGTAAACTCTAGTTTTAACTCTGTTTGCTCTTTGTCTCATATTATTGCATTAAACATTTTAGTCACTCTCTCTCTCTCTCTCTATAGAGAGAGAGAGAAAGAGAGAGAGGGAGAGAAAGCCAGGAGTTTTCCTTCTAATCCCTGCTCAGCATCATTCATTCAATAGCTGCTCTAGATTAGGAATATTAAAAACTGTTTCTATTTTTACAGAGCTACAAAGCCACTGAGGGTCTAGATGGCTCTTTGCCTTATATTGCATATATACAGGCTGTTCTTTATAGCTAAATTATGCCAGTGTTGATAAACCAAGATGGGGAACAGGGGAACTGATAAATTTGTCACACCGTGTGTATTGGTTCCCTCCCCACTCACACACTAAACCAAGCTATTACTTCCTGTGTAACCGTGACATTCTTACTACAATGCGAGAGTGGATAATATGCCCAGGGGTACAAGTACTAACCCCCCCCCACACATATATATATATACACACATACACCTTCCTGAGAGTTTTCTCCAACACAGCAGGCCATTTTAGCAAATAGGTGAACAACATGTCACCATTCAAAACATGGTAAATGAACCTGTCACTGTTCGGCAAAATGAATTTATCCAATATAATAACACAAACAAAATCTCTAAGCACCTTCAATAACACAAAAAAGAGCGTACGGCAGGTGATGGGGGAGGCTGTTCGAGTCTTGCTGAGATGGTTTAATAGAGTGGAGCTCTGCCTCTGTTCTGGGACTGCAGGGGCTCGTCCAGACCCTGTTTACACTGCACCCTGTAATCTTAGCCCATGGCACTGTGTGTGTGTGTCTCAGATGGCGTCCGTTGCAGTCTGCGTGGCTGTTATCCAAAGTGAGTTTTCATAAATTACCATAATTACTGCAAAACCCCACACACAGAAAAACATCTATCCACACCAACGCTCTTCTCAGAGGTCTGAACCCGGTCCTACATTGGTATGAATGGAAGACAATTGGATGGAGAAGGAAAGGGTTTCGTAATACTTATCGTGGGAAAGGGCGAGGCTGAGAACGCAGAGTGAAACAAGAAAGAGGGAAAACACGAACGCTGACAGCAATGGTTTGTTTGGCATGTTGGAATAATTCACTTCAGAGAAGCAAATTGATAACACTCCTGGGGTTGAGTCTACAAATGATCAACAGCCACTTTAATTTTCCTCATTAAAATAAAGCACATATCTGTTATCAAGCACTGCAGATGGTTTTTGGAAATACTGAACCATTTCAGAAGAGAATATTCACAGTTATCATAGAAAAAACACTTATAGAAGCCGTATTCTATGATTTTATAGCTTTTTTTTTCCCTGAGTGAGAATCTTAGGCAAAGTATCCTGCGCTACATAAACACAATTTCAGTTATAATTTAGTTTCACATGACCATTTCACTTCACCTTCTATAGAAGCCATTCTCTGATCTCAAAATAAAACAGGTAATTGTGACAAAGTTTACAATAAGGAAAACTAGTCATATTGTGAGTTATAAAGTTAAGGTAGATTTAAGATAGTTCTGAGAGATGAACACAATTGTAAGAAATTAAGTCATAGTGTAAGATAAAGTCACAAATAGGGGAAATAAAGCTGCATTTATGAGATATACATTTTATGTATGTAAAATAAGGTTTCAATTATGCAATACAAAAAACATGGTGTACAATACAAAGTTACAATTAAAGAAAATAAATGTCTATTTATTAGATATAAAAAAGTATAGATATAAAGTCACAATTCTAAGATTTAAGGTTGAAGTGAGAAATAAAGTTGCAATTTGAGATTAAAAGTAATAGTGTAAGATATAATGTCATAATTATGGGAAATAAATGTGCATTTATGAGATAATTGATAAAAGTCAAAATTCTAAGCTCTAAAGTTGTAGTTACAAAAAATAAAGTTGAAATTGTAGGAAATAAAGAAAAAATAATTCACAATTACGGGAAATAAAGTTGCATTTATGAGATATAAAAAGTTGATGTTATCGGAAATGAAGTTGAAAGTATATAAAAAGTCATATTGTAAGATAAAAAATTCAAAATTGTAAGATTTAAGGTTGTAGCTATAAGAAATATAGTTATAGATACAAAGTTTTCATGATATGGTTCCTTTAAATATCAAACTGGCAGAAAAATCAATCCCAGACAATACATGGGAGTTGCCCTCTTCACCGGTACATGAACTGAAGAATGTCTTACATAACACAAGGCAAAGGCACACAAGGATCTACCAAAACCTATTCTTCAACTCCAAATAAACCACAACAGTGAGAGGGACTGAGTGTTTTGTCCCTGGTGCAATGTTTGAATACTGGTTGTCGTTGCTTTGTGAGCTGGAAACATGAAGAAAGAACCTGCAGTTTCTTCAGGCTGAAACATTGGAACAATGCCGTGTGTGTGAGTTGCATTTACAATAGAAATCACTGAATACAGAACAACACTACAGCACTGCCAAACACACAAGCCACAGTCAAACAAACACACACAATGGAATTTATCGCTCATTCTTTAGTGACTGCTTTCACCCTGTCCTCTAGTTGGCCGTTGTTACTTTTGGGAGACTCACATACACACTGTGAAATTGTGTGCGCGTGATAGAGGGGCAATAAAATGCAGTCACAGCCAGCTTTGCCCTTACACCACCCCACTGTTCCCATGGTGACCAGTGACAGAATACTGCCGGTGCCCTCTGCCATCACAGCTACTGAATCATCAACACACACACACACACACACACACACACACACATTTACAGAATACAGAGACTCCGCAGTGGGACTTTAAATAATATATAATAAAAAAAATTTAAATTACATTTTATTATTAAATTAAATTAAAATTCTATATATTTA